TAAACACAATCAATAGCAGGCCAGAGGGCCATAGGCCCTTGGACCCAGCTGAATTTTATTTATCAAGGCCCACCTACCAGATCCTGTTTGTCAGAAAACATCAAACGAAGATGGAGGGAATACATAGAGTCACTGTACCAGAAATAATTGATTAACCGTGAAAAATTTCAAGATGTACCATATGAACAGGAGTCAATGGTAATGAAAGAGGAAGTGGGAGCTGCATTGAAGGCATTGGCAAAAAATAAGGCCCGATGAATCAATGAGACACCAATAGACTTGTTTTAATTAACAGATAAAGCCCTGGATGCACCAGTCTATGCTAGGAAATTTGGAGGATGGCTATCTGGCCAATGGTTTGGAAGAGGTCCATATATGTTACTATTCCCAAGAAGGGTGATCCAACTGAATGTGGAAATTATCAAACAATATAATTGATATCACATGCTAGTAAAATACTGCCGAAGATCATTCAAAAACAGCTAAAACAGTACATAGGTAGGGAATTGTCAGAAGTTCAAGAGAGATTTAGAAGAGGCTGTGACACCAGGGATATCATTGTTGATGTTCAGATACTGGCTGAAAGTAAAGAATGCCAGAAGAATGTCCATTTGTGCTTTATTGACTATTCAGAGGTGTTTGACTATGTGGATCATGACAAGTTGTGGCTGACATTGAGGAGACTGGGAATCCCAGAGCACTTGATTGTGCTCATGAGGAACCTATACCTGGACCAGGAAGCTGTTGTACTAACAGAGCAGGGGAGCACTGCATGGTTTGGAATTGGAAAGGGAGTGTGTCAGAGATGTATTGTCTCCATACCTGTTCAGTTTATATGCTGAGCAATTATCCGACGAGCTAGACTCTGTGAAGAGGAATGTGGCATCAGGACTGAAGGAAGACTCATAAATAACCTGTGGTATGCAGATGACACAACCTTGCTTGCTGAAAGTGAAGAATATTTTAAGCACTTGTTGCAGAAGATCAAAGAATGCAGCCTTCAGAATATATTACATCTCAGTATCAAGAAAACAAAGACTCTTACCACTGGACTAATGGACAGTGTCATGATGAATGGAGAAGAGATTGAAACTATCAACAACTTCATCTTGCTTGGATACACAATTAACACCCTTGATATGAGCAGTCAGGAATTAAGGAGATGCATTGCAATGGA